CTTGGTAGTGGAATAAGGGGAAGGTGCGGGTATCAGAGGTACCCAGAGTTTTGCTTAGAAGCCAGAGTTTCTAGCTTTTTTGTTCATGTTTTGGTGGTGGTTTTCCAGGGGGTGTGGGAGAAATCAGCAGAAAAATCAGAAAAGCCCTTACTGTACTTTCACGGGCTTGTTTCGCCAGTGAATCTGTTCTTCCTGGGCATCTAACTGGACCAACCACAGTAGATGGGCAAATGAGTCCCTTAATGCCTTTAGGAATGAATGCCTCTTTGTTGGTGCCTCTGTAGCAGAGCAGGACAGGATGTTAATTAAATTTACTGCAAGGCCACATTATGAGCCATTCTGTATTCTAATTCTTATTTGCAATTACCCTCAGCATCAATGTCTTACCAAACTCACCAAAGTAAATGTGTTGTGCAGCAGATAAAAGTGTAGCCCAAATAATACTATGTTAGGAACAAAATGCCCCCAATTTGTTGCTATCCTATAAAATTTAACCATAAACTTCCTCTCATTATCTAGCCAGTTCCTTGTTTTCTTAGAGAAGTTCAGGACCCCAGTTATATATGTCACCAATTCTTCTGTTTAGTCACAGCCAGAAGGGCCCTACTTAGGTGTCTGATTGGGGTCTGTCTTAGTCATCTTGTGCTGCTGCTAACAGAAATACCACATGTCGATGGCTTTAACAAAGAGGAATTTATTCTTTCACGGTCTAGTAGGCTACAAGTACAAATTCAGGGTGTTAGCTCCAGGTGAATGCTTCTTTGTCGGCTCTGGAGGAAGGTCCTCTGGAGGAAGGTTGTGTCATCAATCTTCCCTTGGTCTGGGAGCTTCTCTGCGCAGGAGCCTCAGGTCCAAAGGACATGCTCTGCTCCTGGCATTACTTTCTTGGTGGTATGAGGTCCCTCTGTCTCTCTGCTCGCTTCTCTCTTTTGTATCTCAAAAGAGATTGGCTTGAGATGCTATCTAATCGGGTAGACCTCACCAGTATAATAATCCATCTTATTACATCATAGTGATAGAATTTACAACACACAGGGAAATCACATCAAATGACAAAAATGGTAGACAGTCATACAATACTGGGAATCATGACCTAGCCAAGTTGACAGATATTTTTGGGGGACACAATTCAATCCATGACAGGGTCTACTTTTCTTCTTCATTATTCATAGTTCAGAGGCTGCCTTCCACATTAACTGATCATATACCTCGTTTAGCAGCTACAAAGTTAGGTTACTCCAATCACATCTTTCCTCTGTTCTATATTTCCAAACTCTAGAGGATAAATACATCACTTAAGAATATTAAGAACCAGCTGTGCGTCTGCAAAATTAAATAACCAAGTAAAATCTGCTATCAGTATAGTAGTTTATAATCTAAGCACCAGTTTTCTTATACTGTGGCAAAAATGATGTTCCCTGGATTCAATAGATATAATCTGGGCACACATTGGTATACTTATCTAAAGACATGGTGTAATTTGAGGGAAAGGGGTAGATGGAGAAAATAGCAGAAAGGAAATGAGAAGCTGTGTGGTTGCAGTCTTACCTTGGTACAAGTCAATCTCTGCTAGTTGACCAGAGGCCATGACCTGGAAGTTTAGAGCTCATTTGGGAGAAACCTATCAAATGGTTCATTATGACACTCTGTATCCCTCATTTAGGGAAGTGAAGTCCAACATCAAACTGCTTCGTCTTTCTGTGTGGGATTTGAAATAGCCCAGTCCTTTATGTGGACTTTAGACGTGTGTTAGTGGCAATTAGGACTCTTGTATTTCCTGAAGCCTGCTTCTTTTCCCTTTGTTCATCTCATGGTTTTTAAACTTTGAAATCGTTTTGTGTTTCTTCTTTAGCCCCTGTGTTCTGACTATCCCAATACTGCCTTAATTGTGGACTTTCCTCTCTAATGAACCTGGTAAGCTACTTTTATAGCAGGAAGCTTTTCAAGCAGATTTATAGCGCAACATTCCTCCACTTCCAATCTGTGGCTCTTTCTATTTCTTCTTCCTCATGAGAATCCCAAAAATTTCTTAGCCTTGTGTGTGCTTTTACTGTGGTTATTCCCTGTTTTGAAATTTCTTGAGCCTGTGATTCCTGTCCTTTGGGAGTGGAGTTCTATTTCATTCCTACATTTACTCCATTGACAAACGCCCTTTAAAGGATTTCTGAATTAGTACTGCTGATAAGGGCATTTCCAATTCTATGCCTTCAGGTGCCCAGTGAGAATAAATATGCCTTGAGTTAATTTTGCCACTCCAGTGGAAGCGGAAATGTTTCACTGTATCACCAGTTTTCCCTCAGCACCGGGACCTAACTTTGCTTCTTCCAATGTTTACCTACCCTGTTCACGCAGGTTCAGCTAGATGAAAATTTCAATTTGCTTACTAAGCTGCTATTTTTTCCTAGGAAATGGCTAATACTGTTTAGTGGATCAGAATGTCTTTCACCCATTATCTTTATCTTTCCTGCTAGTTCTGCTTTGACGTTGAGACCAAACTGTTTTTTTTTTTTTTTTAATGTGATTCCATTTTTCCCTTGAGTTTTGATCTTTTCCTCCTAAAACTTCTGCCCAAAACTTTGTTTACTGGCCAATTTTTTAAGGCTTTTTACTTGTTGATAATAATTTACCTTGTTTCTCCAAGTAAAATAATTCATGGAATCAGGCTGGTTTAGGCATAGATATTTTAAAAATATTTTTTTATAGCTCTTGGGCTTTTGATCATGTTATTCAGTTTTTTCTACACCTCGATTGAAGAAAATGAGACAGCTTTACTGTAGTAAGGGCCTACCCTATTACTCTGTTTTTTCCCTTATAAACTGAGGTGGAACTCTAGGTCTTTCAAGTTCATGACCATTATTAAGGCTTAGTAACACGTTGGTCACTCAGCTCTGAATGAGAGCAGGATGAAGAAGAACAGAGAACTTGAAGGTAGTAGACATAGTGCCTGTATAGTGCCTGCCACCCATCAATCCCAGAGCCTTAAATAGGCTTGGTAGAGTTCTGCCTGTTGGTGAAGTAAGACTGTCTAGTTCTAGAAATGAGCACCAGCACCAGGTCTCCACAACTGGGAAGCATCAATCAAGATCAAGATGCCCTTTCCAGGTAGAACTTTGTTTCCCAAGTCCCAGTTGCCTATGCATGTACTCACTTATCCTGACGGAATGACAGAATAGGCTCCCGGAATCCTGAACCTTGTGCCGTCATAGCTAGTCCACTGCTAGATCAGTACAGGAGATTTGTGCACACAAGACAGACCAGGCAAAGGAGGATTTCGTTACTATCTGGGCCTTGGCCTCCAAACCCTTTATGAACTCTAGACCTCTGGTGTGCTGGGCTGGGCCTGACTCAGTGACCTCCTCTCTCCTGGAACCCTCTGATTCCTGCTTGGATTTCTAAGGGATATGGGGGTACCTCTACTCAAAATTGACATCTCAAGTCTTATCCTTCATACCAGCCTCTGGGAAGAAGTGCACCTTTGGGAAACTGTTTCTGTATAGATTCAGAGAGCTTTAACCCCTTGTTTAGCTACATGGAGAACTCTGCTTTGCAGCACCTAAACTCAAGTCCTACGACTTGACCCATGTATGAGCACTTTCAGAAAATTCTTTATTTAGAAATCTACTTCCCAGAAACTTTCTTTTACTAGTTTTAGTTTTTACTTCCTTCTTGGCTTCCGTGAAACTGTATTCTAATTCTTACTGTCTTAGTACTCTAGTGCTGCTATAGCAGAAATACCATAAGTGGATGGCTTTAACAAAGAGAAGTTTATTCTCTCACAGTCTAGCAGGCTACAAGTCCAAATTCAGGGCGTCAGCTCCAGGGGAAGGCTTTCTGTCTGTCAGTTTGGAGGAAGGTGCTAGTCATCAATCTTCCTCTGGACTAGGATCTTCTCAGCGCAGGGACCCTGGGTCCAAAGGACGCGCTATTCTCCTGGCTCTTGCTTCTTGGTGGTATGAGGTCCCCCACTCTCTGCTTGCTTCTCTTTCCTTTTATCTCTTATAATATAAAAGGTGGTACAGGCCACACCCCTGGGAAACTCCCTTTACATTGGATCAGGGATGTGATCTGAGCAAGGGTGTTACATCTCACCCTAATCCTCTTTAACATAATCTAATCTTGCCTCATTAACCACAGTCAGAGATTAGGATTTATAACACATAGGAAAATTATATCAATCACAAAATAGAGGACAACCACACAATACTGGGAATCATGGCCTAACCAAGTTGACACATGTTTTTGGGGGACTCAATTCAATCCATGACACTTACTTTTCTAGGTGTTCTCTCCCTGCTTCTTCCTCTTGCCACTCCTAGCTATAGGTCTGGTTATGAATAAGGCCTTAGCTGTCTACATTTAAACATCTTAAAGATTTGTCTTTCACTACACCAACTGTAATTGATTTTGTGTATGGTGTGAGATACAGACGCATTTTTTCCATATGACTAACCAATTGTTCCAGTTCCAAATCTGCATTTTCAATTAGAGCTACCAGCAGTACCTCTAAAAGCAATTTTGATTCAGTATGTGTCAACCTTTTTTTCCTCTGGGATCTTTACACTTAGGTTCCCTCTTTCTGGAATGCTCTTCCTCTTATTTGATAATGAACAACTCCTGTTAAGGCCTACCGAAAGGTCAGTGGTTTGAACTCACCAGCCGATCCACAGGGGAAAGATGTGACAATCTGCTTCCATAAAGACTAAAGACTAGGAAACCCCATGGGGCAGTTCTGCTCTGTCATTTGGGGTCACTATGAATCGAAATCAACTTGACGGTACTAACAACAACAAAGGTTTTGTCTTTCATATTTAATATCTAGAATTGATTGTTATGTATGGTGTGAGGTAGGAATACAGGTGATTTTTCATATGACTAATAAATTATTCTAGTTATCATTTATATGCCTAAGATTTGTTTACATTTGCAGTTACAAAAGTGGAGGAGATAATCTAGTAAATTTCCTTTTTTTATCATGTAGTATTTCTGTTTTACAGGTTTTTTTTTTTTTGTATTTCTGAGTAAACTTCCAGGAGGACTATGAAGGATTATGATGAACTTCTCAAATACTATGAATTATATGAAACTATTGGGACAGGTAAAAAAAAAATCTTTTCCCTGGAAATAAGGCTAGATAACTATTGAGAGTATAGTCTCATTTGGACAGTCATGAACTTTATAGTCTAACTTATTGTAGTTTTAAAATTCTTCTGTCTACTTTAGTAAGAAAAAGTGTAGCAAGAGAGAGGAAAGTAACGGGAGAGACCTTGTAGGTCATTGCAAGGACTTTGACTTATGGTATGTAAGGTAGGAAGTCATTGGAGGCTTTTGAGCCAAGGAGTGATTTGATCTTTGTTTTCACAAAGTCATTCTGGCTTCTTGGTTGTGAAAAGACTGAGTGGGGAGAGGAAGGGCTGGTAGCAGGAGATGTTAAGAGGCTATTGCAATAATTCAGGAGAGTGATGCTGGAAACGATGATAACTTGGACCAGGGTGATAGCCGTGGAGCTAGTGAATGGAGTAGGATTCTGGATACACATACATATACACACGAGTATATGTTTTAAAAATTTATAAAGGTATAATATACAGTAAAATATACAAAGTACACTAATCTTGATGGAGTCCTACATATGGATACACTCATATATTTGCCCAGATCAAGATATGGAACATTTCTAGAAGGTTTCCTTGTGCCCCTTGCCAGTCAGTAACTGCCTCCTTCCACTCAAGGTAATCACTGATATATTTTGAAGACAGAGCCAACAGAATTTGTTGATGGCTTGGATACGGAGTATGAGAGAAAGGGAAGGACTAAAGATAACTCAGATTTTTGGCCTGGTCAAGTGAGAAAATGGAGTTACCATTACTGACAAGGGTTCAGGAGCCCTGGTGGTGCAGTGGTTTAGAGCTTGGCTACTAACCAAAAGGTCGTCAGTTCAAATCCACCAGCCACTCCTTGGAAACCCTATGGGGCAGTTCTACTCTGTCCTGTAGGGTCGCTATGAGTTGGAACTGACTTGACGGCACATAACAACAACAACCAGGAGCTTCTTTTTGGAGTTCTCTTAAGTTGGAGATTTCTTTTAGATACCCGAGTGGAGACCTTTACCTAGCTTTTGATCCAGTTTTGAAACATAATTGCTTATTTAAAACTGAATGAAAGTTTTATATTTGTCGTCTGTCTCAGAAATTTTACATTGTGTTCCAGTAGGGTTAACTACAAAGCAAAATTTAATTGCATTGTTAATTGTAAAGCAAATTTCTAAAGAGTGGATTCTATATTACATAATTAGAGATATACTGTCATGGTTAAAAAACAAAACAAAAAAACTTCAACTAGACAATTTGACTAGAAGAGGTTAGGGTCATAGCTAATATTTTGGAAGTAACAGGAAGAAAGAACCACAGAATTCCAGGAAAATATGGATTGATAGTCTTTTATAAGTATATGAAAAGGTGTTTGTGCCTGAGTCGTCAGTTTGTTTTGATGATGATATTTTGGTTAGTTTTGTTTCTCTCTTCATAATACATTTTCCTATGCTTAGGTGGCTTTGCAAAGGTCAAACTTGCCTGCCATATCCTTACTGGAGAAATGGTAGCTATAAAAATCATGGATAAAAGTGCACTTGGGGTAAGTTTGAAATTATTTTTTTGCCAAAATATTCTATTTATAGATCAGTTTTGTGAATTAAAAGGTCCCTGGGTGGTGTAAACAGTTTGTGCTTAGCTACTGACTGAAAGATTGGCTGTTAGAATCTGCCCAGTGACACTGGAAGAAAAGCCTGGTGACCTACTTCTGTAAGATTACAGCCATTGGAAACTATGAAGCGCAGTTCTACTCTTAAACACGTGGGGTCGCCATGAATCAGAATTGACTCAGTGACAATGGGTTTAGTTTTGTGAGTTAAAACCCAAATTTGCTCTAATGTGTTAGTTACTGCTAGAATAATATTTCTATACTTTTTTTCCCCATCAGTTGTCTTACACTTAGATCTATGGTTTAAAAAGTAATTTGGGGGAAGGGGTTACTTTATCCCTCAAATCCTAATGTGGGACAGTGGCACTACAGAAGTCTGTAGGATCCATTTTTCTGCACCTGTTTTTTAGTTTTCTAAGTGTTTATAGGTATTAATATCTCCCTTCTTTATCTTCTCATGATACCCTTACTAAATGTTAATCTATTTTATAGCATAGATAGATAAACAGAGTGATTGATCTTATGTCCTAGATTCTTGTTCGAAGTGGTTTTGGAAGTTATCTAATGAAACCCTCTTCCTAATCTGTTAATTTCTTGTGATTTGTTCAGCCTCTTCTTCCTCTGCATGAATGCTTCCAGGATTGAGCAGTTCATTACCTCCTAAAAAGCAGCCCATTCAATATACGGTTTTGCCTATAATGTCCATAAAGTTAATTCTTTAATATTCTTTGATGATCTTTTTGGGCCTTCTGTACTTTCCAGTGTTTGAAGTCACCCTGAGTCTTCTTTTTTTTCTGATTCTTACTACTATCCCCTCATATGATTTGGTTTCTAGGCTTTTCCTTATTCTGGTCTCCTGCTGAGAATTCACAGGTCTGTTAGTATGTGTCAGTGGCTGCTTCTGTTTTTGAAGGTAAATTTTAAAAATGTTTTTAAAAAATCTGTGAGTGTTAAAATTTTATTTTTCTTCAGGATTGAGTTAGCCTTAGAGTTATTAATAGTATACAACATAAACATTTTAAAAATGTTGGTAATTATAAAACAAAAAATTACTGAACATGCATTTTTTAATTACATTGGACTTTTTTTCATGTCACCTTTACTTATTTCTGGCATGGGATAGGGTTTAACGTCATTTCTTCTCTTATTTTTTATTTTTTAAGGATGTCAGTGGTGATATTGTTAGGTGTTGTCAAGTTGATTCCAACTCATAGTGACCCCATGTGACAGGCTGTATTTTTTATGGGAGCAGATTGCCAGGTCTTTCTCCTGTGCAGTGATGAGTTCCAACCACCAACCTTTTGGTCAGGGGCCAAGTACTTAACCATTACGCCACTAGAGCCCTCTTTAGTGCTGATAAACATA